TACGACAAAAAGTTATCAGATCGCACGTAGCTTCTATCTCTACACGCCCTAACACTAAGACCAATTTTATCAGTGCGGTGACGGAAAAAGAATACAACTCACCGCCTCTTCTCAACACGTGGGTATCGTAAGAAGCGAATAAGGGATATCGGAGCTTCCATCCGCTCTTCTGATGCTACGGTGCCTAACACCCGCCTGGTTTGTTACCACCGTGCGCATGGTGAAAACCCAGTTAAGTGCTTCTCGTGTGTTTCGGGGTCAACCAGCGTACAACCAGAGCTCGAGTGGAGGTTGTCGCGACTGATTCAGTCCAGGGGAGGCATCCGTCGAACCGATGCCGGTAGGACTGCATCGACCCGCCGTCCAGGGAGACCAGTAGAAACGACTGTCCCGCTGGCCGCCCGTGGCACAGTACTGGGGCCCGAGCGTTCCTAACCAGTTCGTGAGGCTGCCCTACCATGTCACGCATAATTTCGGGGTGGACCGTCGTACCGGTTGGTGACCGGGGCGTGGGGTCCCGGCGGCCACTCCCGGGGGGGTGCGTGGGCCCTTCCGTCCGGCGGATCGGCGCATCGCCTCTGCAGGCAGTCATTCGGGAAAACAAATCTTCCTAATTTGCCAGGACTCTTCGCGACACCGCCCGCTCATTTTCACGTCTCTTTTTCAATTCCACCATGGCAGCCTCTAAAACAACTAAGTATAGCGGTGCATACCCCCAGGTATGCACTGCTATACACCCAAACTTCGCCTTCAATGCTGTTTAAGGTAGAGTTCTGCAACATACGCGGACTCCACTCTAACCTCAACGCTGTCCACCACTATCTTGAAAGAGCACGCCCAGCATTGTTGACGAAGACACAAATACTTCTGTTTGGTGACACAGGCTACCTTAACTATCCCGGCTACGTGTTTAAAGAGTCCTTCAAAGCGAAAGCCGGTGTATGCCTGTATGTTCGGGCGAATGTTTGTTGTCGCCGTCTCCGCTACTTGGAAGATCACTCCTACTCCATGCTGGTGGTACACGTCGACTCTGAGGCCAAAGTTTACGTGTGCCTCTACAGATCCCATACTCGCGATGTTGACACAACTCGACTTTTCGAACAGCTTAGTCGGGCAGCAGATGACGCGCAAGAACAATTTCCCAAATCAGAATTGGTGTTTTTGGGGGAATTTAATGCTTACCACAACTTTAAGTTGTGGTTAAGTTCCTCGAAAACCAACCATGCAGGGCTCTGCTCACGCATGACTTGAAGCAACTGGTCGATCAGCCCACCAGGATTCCAGATATTTCAAGTCAAGCACCTTTATTACTGGACCTTCTTCTGCTCACGACCCATCCACAGAGCTGTCAGGTTGTGGTAAGGGGGCTCTGGGCTCTTCGAATCACTGCCCGTTATCTACCAAAGCGCCACAGGCCAAGCCTGTGCGTCCAACGGTGGTACAACGCAGGATCTGTCACTATGGGTCGGCAGATTGGGACGGTATGCGTGACAACTTTGCGTCCGTCCCTTGGAAGCAGCGCTGCTTCAGAGACAAGAACCTATCGGCCAGCGCCGTTGTTATTCTGAGGAGATTGTAATGGTAATGCAATACTATATTCCTCATTCCAATCTCATCAGTAAGGACACACGTAACCTCTGGTTCAATCACCACTGTGCTGAAGCTGTTTCGCGTAAGCATGCGGCATATCGTGCTTGGATCAGAGGTCGCGCTCTTAAGGATCCCCGGGGTCGATTCACTAAAAGCAGCCTATAATTTTGCTTTCAAGACCTGTAAGAAGGATTACAGCGGATGCCCAGCGCGTTACACGTGTTGGTCACGAATTTATAACGCATCCTTCGGGCTCCCGTAGCTATTGGCGTTTGGCCAAGGCCGTGCGAAAGAACTTCTGCCAGCTCTCGCTGCCACCTCTGAGATGCCCTGACGGAACACTAGCTCATAAGCCACGGGAGAGGCGATTTACTGGCAAAACTCTTTGTGGCTAACTCCAGAATCGATATTTGCAATGCACTGCCACCATCATTACCTCATTGTGGCACAACGATGCCTGATATTAAAATCAGGCAGCGTGAGGTTCGTGTCGAATTGCAATCACTCGACATCCGGAAAGCTGGTGGACCTGATGGCATCCCATTAGTAGTACCAAAAAAATGTGCAGCGGAGTTGTCTTCCGCTCTCACGCGCTTGTACCAATACTCCTATTCTTTGGGGCGTATGCCGGAGACTTGGAGAGATGCCAACGTGCAACCGGTGCCCAAAAAAGGGGATCCCTCAGACCCGGTAAACTACCGGCCAATAGCAGTCACCCCAGTATTATATAAAGTCCTAGAAAAGGTTCTTAAAAACCATCTGACCCACTACCTAGAGGATGAATCCTTGATTAATGATCTTCAATATGGTTTTAGACCCAAACTATCGACGGGTGATCTTCTAGCGTACTTGACTCATATCTGGGGTGAGGCTATCGACAAGCGGGGCAAGTCGTTGGCTATCAGCCTTGACATTGCCAAGGCGTTCGTCAGGGTCTAGCACAAAAGCATTCTCTCCAAGCTTCGGGCATTCGGTCTGCCGGCACAGTTCTGTTCTTGGATAGCTGACTTCCTGCATGAACGTAGAATTCGTGTCCTTACGAATGCTAACAGTTCGCGGTTCATGTCAGTGAATGACGGCGTTCCGCAGGGCTCCGTCCTATCCCCCACTATCTTTCTGCTGCATATCAATGACTAAAATTCCTTTTGGGAATATTCATTGCGATGCATACGATAGTACAGTGCATGCGGGGTATCTCAGACAAGCAGCGGCTGGGCAGGCGGTAACCAAGAAGAAACTGGAGAATCTTGTCATTGAATTCAATCAGGCTTTGGACCATATTTCTGAATGGGGTACCAGGTATGGTTGAGTTCAATGCTAACAAAACCCAGGTCTGCGCTTTCACGGCAAAAACGTTGACATTCCTTTCATGTCTTGGAGACCTAAACAAGGTTTATTTCAAGGTTTTTTCGGCGTTTTTTCACGCCCGAGCAATTTAACTGTGCTTGTTGTATAAGGAGCAGGTGCGGTCTTGCGTGGAAATTTGCTCGCAACTCTGGGATGATTCCACTAAGTACTTGTTCGATACAGCTACTTGTTGGATGGGTTACAGCGGCGCGCGATCCGCATTATAGGCGATGAAGAGGTGACTAAACACCTAGAGCCTCTACAATTACGCCGTGACGTGGCGTCACTAAGCACGTTCTATGGTCTGTACCACGGCGATTGTTCTGAGGAGTTATTCTCTCTTATCCCACCTTCCCCTTTCCTTCATTGGACCTCGCGTGCTGACCTACGTTGCCACCGACTAACTGTGGCCACAATTCCAACGCGTACAAAGAAATTTGTTGACTCATTTTTTTGTTGCACTATCCATAGATGGAATGCGCTGACCGCTCACGTATTCCCTCACTCTTACAACCTGGGATTCTTTAAAAGAGGCGTGAAGAAGCAAGATGCAGACCGGCAGGGTGAGGATGGCTGGTGTGGCAGGTGAACTGCTGTATCAGCTATCGCGTCTGGACTTCACCGTTACTTATATAACTCGAGATTTTTTTATGTGGATAATCCAAACCCTACTTATAAAGGTCCACTAAAAAGACTTCGGGAAAAGTTACGTGGAAACCCTTGCACTTTGCTTGGCTCATCTTGTCATGTTGGTGGGGGGCACGGTTGCGTTGATATTGAATTCGAATTTTGAATTTGTATAAGTTATAGGGAAGGTGAATACGTGTATACATACTAAGTGATAGTGAAGAGGTAAAGTTAATTGGGATATCAAAAAAAAATCAATGATACAAATTAGCAAATGGTGCATAGAAATAAGCTTGAGTTAACTTCAGTGACATATTTAACAAGTTTTCTAGATGTGATATTATAAATACCATAACAAAGGCTAAACAATACTGTATACTTAACAATTTAACCAACAGTTCTCACTAGAATTCTCTGTAGGTAGGTAAATTACCACAAAATAACAAATGAATCACATTCTTAATAAAATAGGGGCTAATAATTAACGTTGTTAAAGTTCTCTCGATCATTAATATCGATTAATCGTGTAGGTTCATTATGTATCTACATTATAAAAAATCGAAAACGGAGGTAAAACAATAATATCCTAATAGTTATCAATGGTATAAAATATCAAATTTGCTGAAATAAAAAAAATCTCTTCATTGTTTTACGTTTATTTACTTCTATCACATAATACGATAAATTTCACTCCGGTAATAAGTTTGCGTCCACGGAGCACGGATCTGTATACAAACACACGCGACCCGTAGGACGCCCAGTTTCGTCTCTCCCATGCACCCAAAACGGGCCCCTCAGGTGTCGCGCGATCTCGTAAATTAAGATGCCTACTGGATGCAAGATAATCATCGTAGAGAATTGATAAAAACTTTTTTAAATATATATAGGAAGACGCAATAAAATCTGTAAATTGAACCCGAAATATACATTGCAAAATATACACTGCACGGTAGCGCCCTCCAAATTCCGCACGGTCAATGGTTGCACTATGAAATACGTTAAAAAGCATTCTGGTGATGAAATTGAGTCCACGCCAAATTTTTGCCCATGCATTCTATGCATGAAAAGACGTCTTTGCACCAAAAAGGAGGCTAGGTTAATCTTACGTCCGTATACCGGACGCATCAAGTCGGTCGGACGCAGGATCAATAGCAAAAATCGCCATATAAGACGCAACATGATCAGCAAGATGTATATATATATATATATATATATATATATATATATTAGTTGTGTGACTCTCGTGACGTATTTCCGTTTCATCTTTTCCATATTATTTTTCCATTTACACCCCGTCTGAAAAAACATTTCACTTCAAATATATGTGTCCGTTATTTATTGGTAATTTAACTGACGGACTAAAAAGAATTTCGTTTAATTAACCCCCATGATCATATCTATTGCTATAGTGATTATAATAACTAATTTTGTTTCAGTTTTCTTCATCTGTTTCCTGCCATACCACGCGTTTGAAATGTGGTATCATTTGTCACCAACTGCACAGACGGACTATAATGACTGGACACATGCTTTGAGGATTATGGGCTTCTGTTTGAGGTATACCAACAACTTTTTGTGTTTCTTTCCACCTTTTACTTATACTACATTACACACCGTGTATTTTGTGTTACCTGAAAAACTTGACTACCTAATTCAGACAATGATTTAGGTTATATTTCGGTAAATTGTTTTGTTTTCCTTAACAATTTTTTTCAAAAAGTGTCTTCACCTTAATTCGGTAATCTAAATATTTTAAAAGCAGAAACTGACTGACTGACATATCAACGCACAGCCCAACCCGCTAAGTCTAGAGACTCCAAATTTGGCATGTAGGTTCCTTATGAGGTCTAGAGGTGCACTAAGAAAGGGTTTTTCAAAATTCTCTCCATAAAGGGTTAAAACAGTGGATGAAAGTTTGTACGAAAAATCTTATTCCTCGAGTTAATGACTTGCAACTTGGCACGAATACTTATGTAAGTAAATTATGAAGATTATCATTTTTAGTTGATATCAGGAATAAAGAATAGCATGTATCTAGATTTTTAAAATTCTATCCCTGAGGGGAAAAAATTGGATGAAATTTTGTATGAAAAATCGTATTCCTAAAGTCTATTAACTCAAGACTTTAAACTTGGCGCAAATACGTATCTTCATAAATTATATCGTTTATTATTATAACGTTATTAATTTTAAGATTTTCTAAACTACCCCCTAAAAAGGGGGTCGAAGTTTTATATGGATGAATTTTTCGCGCGGTGCGAAATATTTAAGTCTATTAAGAAACATGGGCAGTGCGGAATGTTTAGGATATTTTATAAACTATATAAATATATATTTATGTAAGGGAAGTTTATTATGGTTACTGTGTATTACTGTTTTCATTAGCTATATTTACACGGCTTTTAAGTTTCTCCTTTAGATCTAAATAAATTATTACTAGAAAACTTTTCACGCGGACCAGGCAGCAGACGGGACTCAAACCAGCACCTTCCGCTATCGCTATTTTGCTCTAGCATTTCTTAAGCTGCAGTGCAGCGCCATCTCTTGGCATTGTAGGTAACCCACAATGTCAACTACCTTACAAGTATTAAACATTTGAAAGTAGAAAATAGCAATTACAGTTATATTTTTATTTGTTTAATTTAATTTTCAATTAAAATTATTTAATTATTATTATTAAAATTTTCTTTAGATTTAGAGCATCTTGCAGGTAAATGCTTACAAATTAAAAATTTTACTTTTCTTTTAACTCACAATTAACGTTAGAAGCATGGCTTAAGAAAATAGAGAGACTTAATTATACTCATGAAGACAACTTTATTACTGTTTCAAAGATACAAAACCAATTGGAATTCAAAGTGTTGATTTCCAAATAAAATTAACAAAGTAAATTAAATCTGTCCTTATTTTACATTAATGATACAATTATATCAGTTGCAGTTTTAATCGAAGCCAGAACATAAAGCCTCATTTCTAATTAATGGCGCAATTACATTTGGTCGTTAGCCCGTATTCGGGTGCATGAAAGACATTACTCGAATTCGGGCACCCGAAGCAATATTTACACTAGAATAGTGGCTGGAAGACGGTGTCGAATAAACAAAAGGAAATCCACCCGAATACGGGCGTACTCGACTCCGTTTATTTACACTCAGTCGTTTACCCGAATTTGACAGGCACTCGTATTCGGGCTATCGACCAAGTGTAATCGTGGCATAAGAGATATAAGTTACGAAACAAAATTCTTGATATCTATCGTGTCAAAGTCTTGATATCAAAGTCGGGACTTGTCACGGACGTTTAGAGAAGTGCACACTATGGAAGTAAATATTCGGAGATCAGATTATGTTGTGTTGTAATTTAATTAGCCTAGCCCCAAAGTAAGCACTGTAAGGCTTGTGTTATAGGATGCTAGGGTAACGGATAAGAATACATATGCAGTACATATATAAGTATATTTTTAAAGAAATATACATAATAATCCATGACTGGAGTACAAATGCACGTATGCATCACACAAACATCTGCCCCCACCGGGATTCGAACCCGGGACCTCTCGAGTCGGCGACACCATGAAACCCGGCGTACAAACCACTCAGTTACGGAGGTCGTCGAATTAACATGATGTTTAAGAAAAAGAGAAGACATTTTAAAGAGAAAATTGGTTTGCATGATTTAACATAAGAAGGAGATAGAAAGCCTCTCTAAGTTTGTTTCGCCGGTTCTTCTCAGAAAGGTCTCCCAATTTTGGAACCGGTGGTAGTTTACGGTAGTAAATAAATAACTCAAATTTACAAAAAAGATTTTTAAATAAAGTACTTTATTAACTAAATTAGCTAATACATTCATACATAGACGATAAAGTTTTAAAAATCTTCCAATGAAATATCCGAACGCTCAATAAAAGTCTTTCGAGGATAGCTCGACAAAGAAAATAAAAAATCATTATTCTGACGATGCAGACTTAAAAAGGCTGCGAAACGTCAATAAACAATCTCGTGCATTAACCCGTTAAAACTAGTTTTATTTAGAGAATATTGGGTTCATCCCATTAAATCAGATTGAGCGCCCAACGCGGTCTGAAGCTAGCTAGAAGTGTGCGTCGCTGCGCCTACTAGTGACAGTCCTATCTTTTCAGGGACACCCGTGTACTTTTGTCAGATCCGGTCTCTCGGTGCCCTATGGTTCGGGGTCCTTTTCGTACTATGCTGTGGTGCTTTGAATACTTATTTATTCCCTAACAATATTACATTGTGCTGGAAGTACAAATTTTTGCACATTAATAAAAAAACTTCAACTGATAAAATAGAATACTCTGACCAATAACTAAAATATAAATGTCAATAATAAAAAAACCCAATCAGTGTAATAATAATAATCAATAACATTGCATAATTATTGTTATGAGAATTTTAGAATATTGCACTTTCTTCAAGAAATTAAATTGATTAAAATAATAGATACGTCTGATGATGTAATTGTAAACGATCTACACACATCAAAAGTGTCTAGGGATCAAGCATTTTTATGCGGATTTCTTGAGATTGAGATGTGGCTTTGTAATAAATTTATGATTTTATAAATTTATATGGATCCTTTTTGGTGCATTTCATAATTTGAATCAGGAACTGTGAATCAAATTCGAGTAAAAGATGAAAATCAGCTGTCAATATTTTCCCTATAAAAACATACAACGCATTGAAGACATTATTAGTGCTACTGTTTCCCTACTACTGATTAAAACCAACGTTATTATGGAGCGGCGACGTCATTTAAGCAGGGAAGAAATGCTCAGAGCCGTGGGAATGATAGAAGCTGGTTCCCGGCAACGTACTGTGGCTTTAGCTCTGAATACAAGTCAGAGTGTTATCAGTCGACTTTGGACACGATACCGAAGCACTGGTACCGTGGCTGAGCGCCATGGAGGACGGTATCGCTGCACCACACGGAGACAAGACCGATACATTCAAATCTTAACTCGAAGAGCTCCAACAATAACCGCCATGATGTTAGCCGTGAGGCTTCATCACTCTTCAGGGAACTTAATTAGCGACCAAACAGTCAGAAACCGCTTGCATGAAGTGAACCTTCATTCCCGAAGACCGCTACGGGTACCACCTATAGCAATGCACAATCGTAGGATTCGATATCAATGGGCTCTTGAACACAGAAATTGGGCAGAAGAACAATGGCGTTTCGTGTGCTTTTCTGATGAGTCTCGTTTTGGTATGAGACCGGATACAAGACGTATACGACACTGGAGAACCCCTGGACGCCAACAGCGATTAAAATCCTGCCAGGAAGTCCATCCTTATAGTGGTGGAACCATCATGGTATGGGCGGGTATTTGGATCGGCGGAAGAACTGAGTTGATTTGGATCAGAGGCAACCTCAACGCTCAAATTTATGCTGAGACGATTGTATCAGACGTCATCGTTCCTCTACAAGTGCAAATCGGTCCCTTATTTCAGTTAATGCATGATAATGCACGACCGCACACCGCAAGAGTTGTAAGACAGACTCTCGCCGCAGCTAACATCAATGTCCTGCCCTGGCCTGCTCAGTCGCCAGACTTGAACCCGATTGAGCATGCATGAGATATGCTACAGAGAAGAGCTCTGCCGAATATGGAGGGTATCCAGTCGCAAGAAGACCTTTTTTTGTTGTTGCAACGAACATGGGCGGCCATTCCACAGCGTGATTTGGATGAACTCATTTTGAGTATGCCAAACCGATGTTCTTGTGTTGTTAGTGTTCGCGGTAGAAATACGGATTATTAATTGTTTAAGTTACCCAATAAAATTTTAAAGAAAACTGTTATTTCAGTCTTTTTTTCGAACTTTTGTGTTAGTGGTTCAAATGTCAAAAATCCCTTTATTAGGAAAATGGCAAATTTCTTTATTAATGCAAAGGTGACTTGGTTTATCGTTACTGTGACAAACGAAAACACTTTATTTGATGAATCCTTAAAGAAAATTTTAATTAATATCAATCAGGAGAAAAGTTATTGCAAAAATATATGTTGATCCCTAGACACTTTTGATGTGTGTATTTTGGCGGACATAAAAGTACGCGGACAAAAGTGAGTCGTCTGCGCGGGCTTTGTTTAATATTATATTAATTTCTTTCTTTTAAATTTCGTGAACGTCATGACCTCACTACGCGGCAAAACCCGGCCAAAATTGACCTTTGCGGAATACATTACGCATTGTTGTTCCTTTTAAAAGCCTCGGTGACGAGACGAGAATTCAAACAAAAGATCTGTAAGATCGTTTATCCTTATTTTTTGAGATACATCATTTATATAATTCGGTTCGATTTTGTTCACTTTCGTAAGATGTAAATGTATTTCTTTATATTAAAGCTTTTGTTCCCAGTTTTTTTGACAATAGCTTCTGTAGGCACTCATGGCCATTTTTGTGACTATTTTATGTTAAAAGAGCGGCAAACAAGCCATTATGGCCCGCCTGATGGTAAGGCCACTATAGCCTATAGAACTTGCGGTATCAAAGATATAAATAAAATAAATAAAATATGGAGCCCGTGGAGCCCTGCAA